TATATATATATATATATATATATGCAGTTAATGCTTATAATGTGAAGAGAGAGAAGAGTGAGATTTGAATTGAAAGAACCAGTGAAATTAAACTGAATGGGGTAAACTAGTTGAGGATCCATGAGTTTAAGCACGTACATGTTGATAAGAGTTTGCAGGTAAAGCATGTGCATCGATATATATATATATATATATATACATACATACATATACTGACCTCCTTCCTCCTCTGCTCCTATAAGTATACGTGTATATATATATATGTATATGTATATATTGAGATTGGTGTTGTAGAGATTGTGTGTGTGAGTGTAGATGATCGATGGGTGTGATAATGTGCACGACTGACTGTGTCTGTGTGCCTTTGCGTGCGGGATCTCATATTTGCTAGTAACCATCTTGTCAATTGTCAGCAGTTACCACCCAATATATATCTCTCCACACTCAATCATAAAATAATATTCAATTCTCTCTCATAAACACATGATCAGTAATGAGAGAGAGAGAGAATGTATGTTCTTTTTTTGGGAGGGGAAGGTAGCAGGCTACAAAAAGAATCCAGTTTTTTTGAGTTTATATATTTGTGCAAGTAACAAGTCACTGTTTTAGTTTGCTGAAATTGGTGAGTACTGGTTAGATATGAAATTAGGGTTATGAGGGAATATTAATGGAATTAAAAAAGAAGGAACATTATATATATATATATATATATATATAATATGAAATGAATTGGGAGATGCAGAAGCAGAAGCAATGTACAGTACGCAAGACACGAGGGAGATAGCGGCTTGTTAAGTAAAGGAAGAATGGGGAGCAAAGAGTCCTCATTTTCATACTCCTGTAGTTCACCAGACAAAATATGCTTACTTTTAGGGTTTTCAAGCTTCGGTTCCATTTGACAACGACATGCATGCCCACTTCCTCTTTATTTATTTCATTCCAATTTCTTATATATATATATATATATATACTCCACTACTATACTATACTATATATATATATATATATATATATATACTTCAATTAAGTAAACAATTAAGAACCATCTACCCACTCCCACATTCAATTAATTAATTAACATCCATTCATTGGAGAAGATATATATATATATATATATATATATATATATATAATTGGGATCACGTAAGACCAGTTTGTTTTCGTGAGACCAGTTTTTTACACTTGAAACTTCACAGCAAAATGCTGTGAAGGTAACCTTCACAGTGTTTTTGCTATGAAGGTTCGAATTTTTTAAACTTTCACAATGTTTTTTGCTGTAAAGTTTCAAGTGTAAAAATATGTTCTTACGGGTCTCACGAAAACAGGTTGGTCTCACGTGAACCCAACCCTATATATATACCTAAAAGAAATTGCATGTATATAAAGAAAGAAATTAGGAAGAAAAAAACATATCTTTGTGATCAAGAACCTAAAAACATATGAAAAGATTAATACCACCTTTACTTACTCCAACACCAAGACTAATTTTGCAGCTGAACTTCATCAACTTCATCACATACACATACACATACACATACACATAAACATACACATACACATACACAGAGATTTGACTTCTATTCTAATTAACAAGAAATGGATCCCAATTTAATGTAGCTAGCAGCTATATATGTCATATATGCTGCATCCTGCTTTCATATATATATATATATATATATATAATGTGTGTGTGTGTGTGTATATATGTTAGTGTGTGTACTTGGTCAGAAATTAACTAATAAGCTAACCATTGTGCACATATACATAAATCCCAACTGAAAAATGAAAACTTGGACAATTAATATCATGCATCTAATACGACTACTGCATGTTGAATTGGCTTAACTATAAAGCTGTTATATATGTTGGCTACAGGTATGATAAAATCCAAGGAACTTGAAGGATAACAATATAGATATATACATATTAGTTAATTGGTAAAAGTGTACCGTAATAAAACTAATGTAAAGTAAGAGCGAGGCGAGGCTATACTGATGGATGAAGCATTAAGATAAGCCTTAATGAATTAAGCACTAAATTATACAAAAACAAGACTAGTAAATGACAAAATTAATATCCCTCTAATTAAATTAAAACAAGATGGTGGGTGGTGGATCCATAACATATAAATTTGATCGGAATATACTCCAACATGATCAACAAATCATATATTATTTCATTAAATAATGATATCACATTAATTCCTCCTCAAAAAGCAAGCAATTCGTTGCCTTAATTGTTAAAAAATAGCGATTTCTTTTAAGTGCATTTGGTTTACAGAATCCACCCATTAACTTAATGATACTGCACTTCAATTATTTAAGCTCCCCCGGCCCATGTTCCAAACTGAGTACTTACTTGTTCATCTCTGCGATCTTTCAAACAAGCAGTTCCATCACCATGCACTGGCCATCATCATCATCATCATCATCATCATCATAGGGTTTTATCTTTGCCTTCCGTTAGGGTTTCTAGTTTCATAAAGCTAGGTAATTATGAAGCACTAAATCAAGAGACTATATATACATATATGTGTGTGTATATATATATAATCAGCTCTGGTTCTGATTAATTAATGCCATGAAGAAACAGAGAAAAGAAGTTGATTCTGCCAACCCAAGAAGAAAGAGTCATTGGTAACCTCAAGATTATAACCTTCAGATGGATAATGGAGTCTCAACAGCAGCTTGGCCTGTGAAAGCGCATAAGGGCTGAGCGAAACGTTACGAAATCCTGCACTCCTCATCATCACCTCCCAGGATCGGTATCGTTCGTGTCTCTCTTTTCTGTTCTCTCCCTCCGCCGCTACTATATCTGCGATCTCTCTCCCGAACCACACTTGCTCCACCTCAATTCTTTCCCTGCTGTTTGGGGGTAGCGTTGCCTCCAGCGACTCAAAAACAGCGGTGTAATAGTTCATCGCTTCTGTAAACCTCGAGAGGAATATCGGGTGGTTGTGGTTCGCTTCTCTCTCTGCCAAGGTAACCACTCTAGGGTTCATGGCCTTGATCTTTCTTAGTAACAAGCAGAGTTTATCTCGGTCGATCAAGAGGCGGTGGAGGTAGAGGACGCAATTCACGGCGAGGATTTCGTTAGGGAGGAGGAGAACCGCCGAGAGGTGGTTGATGACGTCGTCGACGGTGTGGTGGTTGTTGGTTTGGTCAGGAAGTAGGAGGGGGAAGAATCGGAATCTGAGACCGAGTGAATGGGCGAACTTGGAGAGACGATCTCCGGTTCTACGAAGGATGTCAAGGTTGGTGCCGGTGGCGGTGATGCGTAGGGTTGGAGGATGGTGGCGGTCGGCGATGGCTTGCATCAACGGCGGCCACTGGACGCCGTGCATGATGTCGAAATCCAATATATGAATATCATGAGGTTGAGGAGAAGAAGTAAAAGAATGATTTTGTGGTTGGGGTTGATCAATGGCTTCCAAGATAGCTTGATTAGCAGTGAGCTGACTAAATCTTATGAATGGAGTTATTTGATTGAGGGACAAATAGGATGACTGGAGGATGGCATCATTGTAATTGGAGGAAGTATTACAACGTTGAGTGATGATGAAATTGTTAGAGTCAGTAAGGTTTGGTGGATTGATATTGGAGAAGATGGGAAGAGGCAGAGGGTGAGGGTGAGGGTGAGGGTGAGGGTGAGGGTGAGGGTGGAGGTGAAGGCGGATGGAGAGAGCTTTGGTGAAAGAATGAACTAATCGGTCTGAGGAATCACCGTAAGGGGAAGAGTTGGTGGAGAGGATGGAGATGAGGCGGTGAGCCGCAGTGATATCAGAGCGAGAGATGAGCTGGGCACAGCTCAGGAGGAGTTGGCGCATTTGGATGGATGGTGGGGTGATGATCATCTCAGGCCCAAGTTGTTGGATCTGGGGGTGGTAGTGAAACCATGAGTGCAGGTGATTCAGCTGCTGTGATGGCGGCGGAGGTGGTGGTGCTGCTGCTGGAGGTAGATCTACATGTAAATCGTCTTGATTATCATGTAGTAGTGGAGAATGAGACGATGAAGCCGACATTTTATCGATCCTAAGCCTCTTGGTTGATGGTTTTCTTTCTTCAGCAGTAATAATATATAGGTAGGAGGATGATATCTAGTAATGGATCGGATATATATATATGTGTATATATATATATATATATATTATATGTATAGCTTTGGTTATGGTAGCCCTTAATTAATTTGAGCATGTCATGGAGAACCCTAAAATCCTGGCTACACATGCAGTACAGACGGCTGCACAGAGATCCGCCATGGAAGAATTAATTGAAGGTTATCTTAGAGATGCTTGCAACCAAAACACCTGAAGGAAAACGACGAGACAGACAGCCTGCGTGTTATTCGAGTTATGTATTTATGAATCTAACAAATAATTTGCCATACATTGTCCATATATGACCCTCTAATCATTATCTATACATATATAACTCCCCAAAATGTGATATCTATAAGGGTAATTGTGTAATTTTCTATATTGATGACAACTCATAAATATAAATTTATTATTTGTTTGTTTTCGTATTTATCGTTTTAAAATCCTAAAAAGTTCTCTCCTTCCTCAACCTATCTGTTCCGCCTCCATCAACAACCGGAATTGTTCATGTGGTAATCTTCTCTGATGGTATCAGAACCAAAATCGTCGACCTCTCTGCGCTTCTCACGTTCATCTTTTCCGGCCTCCATGTCAAGACCACCACCACCACGAGCGACTTCTTCTTATTCTTCTCACCCTTCTGGCTATAGGTTTTTTTTTGATTGGTTGAATCATTTGTCATGCATATGTATAGGGTTGATCTTGATTTTGGTTTTTGTTAGGGTTTTTTATTTGGATTTTAGATTAGGTTTTTTATGTTGATTTTTAGGTTAGGGTTCCTTTTTGTTACTCATTTCTTCGGTTTCAAAATAGTACAGTAGGTGTTCATGATTATTTGTTCCCAACGTGTGCACAATGAGATCACAAAGTATGCACACCACCAGTGAACCCAGATCACGTGAACGACTGATATTCTCGTGAATCCAAATGGTGTGCACATATTATCATCTCACCACATAACTCTATTTGCAAATTGTGCACAATGTGTTCACAAAAATTGGGGTATAAGTGTTCAACCGGGTTGGGAAAGAAGGATGGCGAGAGAGATGAGAGAGAGAGAGAGAGAAGACGGAAGAGAAAAGATATTTATAAATACATATAATGCCTTTTATTTGTTTTTTTTAGTTCAAAATTACAAAAAATAATAACTTCCTAATTTAGTATCATTTAATGCATCAAAATGGTCCTCACAGTTCTCACACATTTTAGCGATCAATTGCAATCTCATCCATATATTTTTTTGATCAATTGTCAAGATTAAATAGTGTTATATTAGGAAATTAAAAAAAAAGTTTAATTTTTAATTAAAGAAAAGGACAAAATCGGCAAATCATCCATATGAATCTGTTTTACTGTATGAAACTGTATTTCATTATTGTCCTCTTCACTGTATGCAACTATTTAACTGTATGAAAAACATTTCATCACTGTATGAATCTGGTTCACTATATTAATTTGTATTTCTTAACTAGATGAACATGCATTTCTTCATTGTATGAATCTGTTTCACAGTATTTATTCACATGTGTGAATCTGGTTCACTATATGAATTTGTTTCACATTATGAAACTGTATTAATCTGTCTTCTTCATTGTATGCAACTATTTCACTGTTTTATATTTAAAAAAACAATTGATTTACACCTTTCATATAAACGGTTTCTATATTTACGTTTCCATTTAAAAATAATTAAATCATTTCCAATATTATATTTAAAAACAATTATTTTACACCTTCCATATAAATGGTTTATATATTTACGTTTTCATATTTAAAAATAATTAAATCATTTCCAATATTAACCATTATACAGTAAAATGACAATTATATCTTACTTATTAAAATTAAAGAATAAAAAACGGAAATTTCCTATTAGTCGAGAATGGTTTGCATAGTTTTCACGAATCAGACGGTTTGTAATTTAATCTACCTCTCTATATATGTATGTATATATGTATATATATATATATATATATATGAGTATACATTTATTTTATAAAATTGTAAGAAGACTTTCATTACTATAATCAATCATATTTAATACTAAATCAAGACATATAAACAACCTTTGATGAGACAAATTATAATTTGGGATAATTTTGTTGCGAAATAAATTAACTTCATTGCGAAAGTATATGTCACATAAATATAACTTTTGCAACGACGTTATATGAGAACTCTATTACTATCGAATAAAGCCTACGACTCGAGTGCTCTACACAAATTGTAATCGTTTTATATGTTTTATGATCTTCTATACTATAGAAACTAATTATATCATCTTAATATTTTTAGGTGTTAGGATATATGGTTGGAGATATGGGTGCTCATGGGTTGGGTCGATCAGTTTAAAGACATTTGAAGAACCCAACTTAATGCTTGCGGTTTGAAAAATCTTAACTCAACCCAATATTCCAAACCATACGGGTTGATCAGGTTAGTCGAGTTGATTCTTTGGTACATTAAAATATTTTTCTAACTTTGAATATATTATTTCACTACTCATAATTTCTTTTTCATCATCAACCATTTAATACAACTTATCCATATTTTTTACGTGTATCACATTCAATTAATTTTCTCAATTTACATATATATATATTCACGGTTACTGAACATATATACAAATGAGTTATATAGAAATGGAGAATAGATTGAAAATATGTGTATATGAAGAGCGTACGTGATAGTGTAATTGTGTAATGTATATATTAACATAAACTCAACAATCATATTAAATCCAAGAAATAAAAGGATATTAGGTTCATCGGGTTGGGATGAATTGGGTTCAAATAGTAACATCCCAATATCAACCTAATACATATGGTTTAAAAAATTTACAACTCGATTAGACATCGGGTTGCTTCAGGTTGAATTATTTCACGTTGGATTGATCGGATTGATCGGGTTTTTGAGCACTCCATAGTTGGAGAGACATTAGTGTCTAGATATTTTGTGAAGCTTTTTTTATAGCCATCCTAAAAAAAAAGCTTTTGGTAATTCAGGATATATGTTACCCCATCATTGTAATTACAGTTTTTTTTAGAAAATGACATTGTTCACAAAGGATTATCGACAAATCACCAGCGGAGAATAGTATTAACATATTTCCGACGGCTATATCCTTCGGTAATCTATCGGAAAATAGAACCATCTGCAAAAGAATTTTTCGATGCTTTGTCGGTAGATGTTTGTTGGTATAATTAACCTGATCACAATATGTTGATTTGGTCTCATATTTTACTTCTAATCATTACTTTACAACATTACTTTGAGTGATGAATTATCGTCGTTCTAATACATGTGTTAAATACTGTTGATAATTAAAATTTGCTAAACAGGTTTTTTGGATTGTTTTTCCCGGTCAGAAATCTGATTGTATTCTAATGGTATACACAAATGAAAAGATGTTTTAGTACAATACATCATAGCGGGTTGATTTAATTGCAAATTATGACGTAAAATTAAATATATAATGATGAATTGCATCAAAATAAAATTAACCTTTGAGTTTATTTTTGTTTTCAACGAAGGCAAGCCAACTCAAGTAATCCCATAAGTTAAGTAAGCACTCGTTTGTAGAAGTTGTGTCACAGTTCATATTGTGACAAGATGTGAATATTCACTCGTTTTACAACCATTAACCCGAAAGACGGAGCAGGCAATGTAGTTAAAGTGGTTGAGTGCACAAAATCCATGTGAGAGGTGTGCGGTTCAATCCCTGTATCGCTATAACCTGTATTATTTTTGTAAAACCCATAAATCACAAAAAGCATCAATCTTATGACTTTGTTAGAGCATTTCCAACAGTAATGCTGAGTTCTTCAGTCACCTGAGACTTTTCCTGATCCAGACACTGACTTTAGTTGATCGAGAGCTTTGTTCAGTTGCCAACTAGACTTAACGAAGTGATTTAAAATGAAGAAAAGTGAGATTTTAGCAATTTTTTACTCTAACAGCAATGCTATCTTGTATATTAAAGTAAAGAAAAGAAGAGAAAGAATGTAGAAATCTCCAAATTTGAAGAAATATCTAAAACTCCAAATTTAATAGAGAGAAAAAATATTTAATTGTTTTTCACCAATATGAGACATTAAAATTAATTATTTAACAGAGAGAAATAACATTTTATTAAAAAAACTAAATATTTTAATAATATAATGAAAGAATTGCTAAAATAAAGTAGCTGTCAGAGTTAGCATTCATAATTTTCCATTATTTCATTCAACATATGATCTATAATTAAAATCTTAGTTGTTTAAGATTGTAGACTTGGGTTCACGTGAGATCAAGGGTTTTTTGTGAGACCCGTAAGACCAATTTATGTTCATTGATCAACTTTATAAGTTAATGATCTAATGATCTAAAGTTGCACGATGGCAATTTTGTGACTATTCAGAAGTCTCGTGGCAATTTTTATGATTATGAATATTCATATTGTAGATCTAAATCCAAGGGTTGAGAATTGGTCTTACGGGTCTCACGAAAAACCTTTGAACTCAAATGATCCCAAGTCTAAGATTTGTAATTTCATATATACTAATGTTATCATGTTGGTCTACAAAAATCTAAATGTTTGCCTTTTTTATGTAAAGATTACATGATGGTCTTTGGTTAAGGGTCTGTATTACTGGGTAGGAAACGATAATGAAAATCATATATCAATGGTGATTCGTTAATGCCATTGAATAGTCAATGTCAACCGATCGCTTGTGTATTTATTGTCGCTCCCCTTCTGTGTGGCTCGTCGTTGCTCCTAGCTACCCTGTCAATAATCAATCAGGCATATATAACTACTTCTCTTCCTTAACTTGTCCTATCAAATCGTGCGATTTCCGATTGCTTAATTTTGGATTCGTGTTTGTGTTGTGTGCATCCCTTTCTCTCATTCGATTAGATTTTGTTTGACTTGATTTAACAAAAGT